TCAGAGCCCGAGGTGCTGCGCCGCAGCTCCCGCAGGGCCTGGTCTGGTCGAGGCCCGGCTTTCACTTTGCGGCCAGTGGAAAAAGAAATGCCGCACGCCTCAGTTTCCCCGTTCGCTTTTATTGCCCCCCCCCCTCCTGTGCATCCCGTCCCCTCCTCACACCCCCAGACTTGCTCCTCGCGCCAGCCCTCGGCAGATGGCAGAGACTTAATTCCGCCCGCTGCCCAGCTTGGCCGCAGTAATCGCCCCCGGCCAGGCGCCCGCCCGGCCCCTTTGCCCTTTGCGCAGCAGGCCTTGGCCCCGGGCAAAGGGCATCGGAGCCCCCTCCCCACCCAACCCCCCTGTCTGTTCACCCCTAACTCTTTAAGCCCTTTCTCCGTTGGCTTTTGAGGAACACCGGGAGAAGGGGGCGGGCGAGGCGGGAGCCCTGGAGACCAGCCACAGCAGCCGCAGAAAGGCCTGCGCTGTGGAGTTGGGGAGCCTCCGCTGGTTGGACGGCTGTTTGCTCCAGGTGGCGACGGGATGACCTCTAAGTCACTTGCACACTAGAGAAGCAGATGGTTAGTAAAGGCAAGTTCGCAGGTGTTTTCTCATAGTGACCACTGGCCTGTGCTCCACCAACCCCCTTTGCTGGGGGCCAGAGTGGAAGATAGCTCAGGACTCTCCCGGGGGGGAGGGACCCAAGCAAAGGAGGGCCCTAGCGATTGATCAAGGCAAAAGCAAGCTCTTTGTTTAAACCCAGAGTCTGCAGAATTAAGTGTGTGTGTTGGGGGGGAGAGGGGGGGGCAGGGTGCAAGGCACACTCCCCTTTCTTCCTGTAGTTGGTACCCATCTCCCCAACCCCCTCCTTGGTTTGAGCAATGCCAGCTGCCACCTGCTGGGACCATCTCCAGTTACAGTCTGAAGGCTGGAAAGAGGTGAGAGAATTGGCCCTGGGAAATGGCTCACACCCTGGACAAGGACTGTGTAAGGATGGACTTGTTCAGTTACTTCTTTCTAGATACAGAAACTCTTATGGGAGGAGGTACTCTGAGCTGGCCTCCTTGTTGATTAAGTGCCCCATAAGTTCTTGTGGTACTGTGTGTGTGTGTGTGTGTGTGTGTTTACACTGGGCCAGGTAGGGAGTTGAGTTAGACTTCTTAAGACTCTTGTTGCCAGTGGAAGATAAGAGTTTGATTTAGGAGGATAGACTTGGGGTAAGTAGTTCAGAGCAGAAATGACAGGGGAAGGGAACTAGCTTTCCCCATCATGGCAGTTATGCTGGATATTCTTATACCCTGGAGTTTTAGCCCTGAGAGAGCAAGATGGGGAGGAGAGAGGAGGCACTCTGGGGAAGGTAGGTGAGCAAGCAGCAGGTGTTTGTGACAGGAAAGGAGCCAGGGCCCTTTGTGACCAGGTTGCTGTCACCATTTTCCCCCTCTGTCTTTCTTCTCTTTGTTTCTTTTTGTTCCTGTATAGCATTCTTTCTATCTTCATCTTCCTGGGTCTTTTTCTCCCTACTAAGATAAATCTTGGGATGGCTCTGGTGGCCACATGTGTCCACCCTTGACCTTACATGACCCTTGACTCTTGTCTCTGACCCCAGCCCTAGTGTGTCCAATGGGTGTTCCTTCCCAGCTCCTCTTTGGCCTCACAGGTACTTGTTTGGCTCAGCTGTAATAATAGATTGTATCCTGATTTTCATATTCACAAGTTCATGTGCTTAGAATAACCTTGTGATATATCATTTGTCCCCTCTTTCAGACAGTAAAAGTCAGGCAGGGAAAGAGCTTGCTTATGGAGTGGCCTTGTGAGAAAACTAAAGTGGAAAACTATCCCAGGTCTTGGCTTTAGTCACTGCATTTTGTATAGATGTCTTTTCAAATCTCTGTGAACACCAAATCCATGAAGAGAGTGCATTTATCCCTTGCTGATACAAATAAATCCTTAGACATCGAGCATCGTTTCCATCTTTCTCCTTAATAATACTGGTGACTAATGGTTTTCTGTGCTGAGCACGGGAGGGATGAGCTAGTTCAACCAAGTTGCTCACTGATCTCCCTCCACTATCTATCTATCTATCTTTCTTTCTTTCTTTTCTTTTCTTTTCTTTTTTCCAGTTGTAAAGCTTAGACTCAGGGCCTGGGCACTATCCCTGAGCTATTTTGCTCAAAAGTGAGCACTCTATTACGTTGAGCCACAACTTCACTTCCAGTGTTCTGGTGGTTTATTGGAGCTAAGAGTCTCATGGACTTTCCTGCCCACGCTGGCTTTGAACCTCTCTTCTCAGGTCTCAGCCTCCTGCGTAGTTAGGATTACAGGTGTGAGCCACTTGTGCCTGGCATCTTCTATGTATTTCTGAGACTCTCTCTTCCTCTGTTTTCTCTGTTGGTCCTATGTGCCCACCCACTCACTTGATCTAGGGTTTGGCACCCAAAGTCCTCTAGGATCCTATGGTATGGTGAAGGTGTATCAAGAGGGAGGGGCTAAGTTTGGAGATCCTGAAGGCAGAGGTGTAACGTCTCTATTCCAGGCATTTCAGTTTCTCCTTTCTCCTCTTGTTTTCATCAGGTCTGGGGCCTGACGATATGGGGGACATGAAGACCCCTGATTTTGATGACCTTCTTGCTGCCTTTGATATCCCTGATATTGATGCGAATGAAGCCATCCATTCTGGATCTGAAGAAAATGAGGGGCCAGGGGGCTCAGGGAAGCCAGGACCCAATGTAGGAAGTGAAGCTGAAGGTGCAGCAGCAGCAGCTCTTGAAGATAACTCTGAAGTTCCAGCCTCTGACCACGGCCTGCCACCGCAGGACACTTCTACCGTCAGCGTCATTGTCAAGAACACAGTGTGTCCTGAGCAGCCTGAGACTCTGGCTGGGGGTTCAGGAGAGGAAGAGATCCCACCTGGGGAGGCCACTAAGGAAGGGACTGTGGGGCCTTGTCTAATGCAAAATGGATTTGGTGGGCCTGAGCCATCCCTCCCAGAAACCCCCAACTCTCCAGCTCCTCCCACTGGGGATGGCTGGAAAGAAAAAACTTTGGAAGGCAAAGCTCCCTTGGATCTCTTTGCTCATTTTGGACCTGAACCAGGCGAGCACCCGGATCCCTTGCCTTCTGCACCCTCACCCTCTCAGGCTGGGGCCATGAGCCCACCTCCGTTCCCCTCTTCCTTTGAGCTAGCCCCAGAGAATAGCCCAGTCCTGGTGCCCCTTAGTTCTTCCCCCCCACCACTAGGGACCTTGAAACAGGAAAGCTGCAGCCCTAGTCATTCCCAGGGCCTAGCCCAGAGAGGCTATAGCGCCAAGGACACAGATGTCCCTTCCAGCACCTCACCTCCTCAGGTTGCTGGGGTGTCCTTCTTTAAGCAGTCTCCCGGGCATCAAAGCCCACCTGCTTCCCCTAAAGTTCCCAGCTGTAAGCCCTTGAAGGAAGAAGATGAGGAGCCAGTGGAAAAATCACCCCCAAGAAGTCCGCAGAGCCCCTCCAGCGGCGCTGATGCTGCAGACGAGGACAGCAATGACTCCCCTGCCTCCTCCAACTCTTCTAGGCCCCTTAAAGTGCGGATCAAGACCATTAAAACATCCTGTGGCAATATCACGAGAACCGTAACCAGGATCCCCTCAGACCCTGATCCTCCTGTCCCCTTGGCTGAAGGGGCCTTCCTGGCTGAAGCTAGCCTACTGAAGTTGTCCCCTGTAGCCCCAAACGCTGAGGGTCCGAAGGTGGTGAGTGTGCAGTTGGGTGATGGCACTAGGCTCAAAGGCACTGTGCTGCCCGTGGCCACCATCCAGAACGCCAGCACGGCCATGCTCATGGCGGCTAGTGTGGCTCGAAAAGCTGTGGTTTTGCCTGGGGGGACTGCCACCAGCCCTAAGATGATTAAGAATGTGCTAGGCCTGGTGCCCCAAGCTCTGCCCAAGGTTGATTTGCGGGCAGGGCTGGGAACAGGGGGACAGAAGTTAAATGGTGCCTCTGTGATGATGGTGCAGCCTTCAAAGCCTGTTCCTGCTCCAGGCCCCGCAAGTAGCACGGTGATCTCACGGACTCAGTCCAGCCTAGTGGAAGCCTTCAACAAAATCCTCAACAGCAAGAACCTGCTGCCGGCCTACCGACCCAACCTGAGCCCACCAGCCGAGGCCGGACTGGCCTTGCCTCCGACGGGCTACCGCTGCCTCGAGTGTGGGGATGCCTTCTCATTGGAGAAGAGCCTGGCACGCCACTATGACCGCCGGAGCATGCGCATTGAGGTCACCTGCAACCACTGTGCCCGCCGTCTGGTCTTCTTCAACAAATGCAGCTTACTCTTACACGCACGCGAGCACAAGGACAAGGGGCTTGTCATGCAGTGCTCGCATTTAGTCATGAGGCCTGTAGCCCTCGATCAGATGGTGGGGCAGCCGGACATCACACCCCTGCTGCCTGTGGCTGTGCCGTCTGTCCCCGGACCTCTGGCCTTGCCCATCTTCGGCAAGGGTGAGGGGGCCATCACCGCCTCTGCCATTGCTGCCATTGCCACCGAAGCCCCTGTGCTGCCACTCTCCACAGAGCCGCCTGTTGTCCCTGCCACCTCCACTTACACATGCTTTCGCTGTCTGGAGTGCAAGGAGCAGTGCCGGGACAAGGCTGGCATGGCAGCCCATTTCCAGCAGCTGGGGCCCCCCGCACCCGGGGCCACCAGCAACGTGAGTTGCCTTTCCCAGCCCTCCTCTGGGGTAGGGGACAGCCATACACCGAAGATAGGCTCTAGGAAGGCATTGGAGGCTTGGTTAGGAGACATGACGGAGATTAGGGCACCCTTACCAACTGAACCTTGTTTAATCCCCTCCACAGGTGTGCCCCTCCTGCCCCATGATGCTCCCCAACCGCTGCAGCTTCAGTGCCCATCAACGCACGCATAAGAACCGGCCCCCCCACGTCTGTCCTGAGTGTGGAGGCAACTTCCTGCAAGCCAATTTTCAAACCCACCTGCAGGAGGCCTGTCTGCACTTTTCTCGCCGTGTAGGATACAGGTACCTTGTGCCCCTCGCCCCCCTGTACAGCCTCAGGGCCTCTTGTCTCAGCCGCAGCCTTTTAGATGACCTCAAACAAAGTCCATCTCTCTATCCCTCCAGCTCTGCTAGCTGTCAGACTCAGCCCTGTGACATCATCGCCTGCCTTCAGGCACTCCCCTTGGGGATCCCCAGGGGAGAGCAGGGGACTGGGTCTCTAGCTCTTCCTTTTCTACTTTGTTCATGCTCCACTGCTGATTCCTTTCTTGGAATCCACCCAGGCCTCGGCGATTAAGTATGGGGTGGGGGTAGGGGCTTTGGAATGGCCCTGCCTCATCACGGCGCCTTCCGCTTCCTCCACCAGGTGCCCTAGCTGCGCAGTGGTGTTTGGAGGTGTGAACTCCATCAAGTCTCATGTCCAGGCATCGCACTGCGAAATTTTCCACAAGTGCCCCATCTGCCCCATGGCCTTCAAGTCTGGACCCAGCGCCCATGCCCACCTTTACTCCCAGCATCCCAGCTTCCTCATGCAGCAAGCCAAGTGAGAGCTGGGGAGAAAGCCTAGGGAAGAGGGGTGGGTCGGAGGGCGGGACGGGAGCAGAGCTCCCATCCTGATGTCCGCCCTGTCCCTTCTGCCCCACAGGCTGATCTACAAGTGCGCCATGTGTGACACAGTCTTTACCCACAAACCCCTCCTTTCTGCCCACTTCGACCAGCACCTGATGCCCCAGCGCGTCAGTGTTTTTAAATGCCCATCTTGTCCACTGCTCTTTGCCCAAAAACGGACCATGCTGGATCATCTCAAGGTATAGGCTCCAAGAGCTAGGGGATCATAGGTGCTTGGCCGGGTTGGTTGACATAGGCCATGTCTGCACACACAGCCTTCCAGCCGGCAAAGCCAGTCCCTCCTTTCCCGTAACAGCCACTTGCTTTGTGTCTTTCACAGAACACCCATCCACCTGGACGGGGTGGGGAGGAGACTGCTGGGAAAGGGGGTGGAGGTGCTCTTCTCACGCCCAAGACTGAGCCCGAGGAGCTGGCTGTGACTGGAGAAGGGGCAGCCCCCGCTACTGAGGAATCTTCATCTTCCGAAGAAGAGCCGCCCAGCTCCCCCTCGCCCCCTCGCCCCTCCAAACGGCCCAGGCGGGAACTGGGAAGCAAAGGTGTCAAAGGTGGGGGTGGGGGGCCTGGAGGCTGGACCTGTGGCCTTTGTCACTCCTGGTTCCCTGAGCGTGACGAGTATGTGGCTCACATGAAGAAGGAGCATGGCAAGGTGAGCCACCCCGGCTGGGATGGGATGGGCCAGGCAGCCCCGAGGTTGGCTCCTGAAGCCTGGCTCTGAAATCTCTCACCCTCCGTTCTCCTAGTCAGTGAAAAAGTTCCCCTGTCGCCTGTGTGAGCGCTCCTTCTGCTCTGCCCCCAGCCTGAGGCGCCATGTCAGGGTCAACCACGAGGGAATCAAGCGAGTTTACCCATGCAGGTAACCTTTGCTTCCCACTCCTTTTCCAGCCCAAGAACCCAGAGTACCTTCCTGCCTGCCTCTTCCTGGAGGAGGCCTCCCTCTGCTCTGGCAGCCCCCCTCAGGTGCTGGGCCTTGGCCTTCGAGCTGTACGTGTGGTGCCAGTCTGTCCTCTCCCCTCGTTCTAGGTATTGCACAGAGGGAAAGCGCACCTTCAGCAGTCGCCTGATCCTGGAGAAACATGTCCAGGTCCGGCACGGCCTGCCCCTCGGGGTCCAGTCAGGGAGTACCATGGCTCGAGGTTCTGGTGCCAGAGCCCAGGTAGGCAGAGGCCCCGTATATATTGAGACCACGGAGTGGGAGACTGGCAGGTGCAGACCCTGGTCCCCGCAAGCCAGATTGAGGGGACCAGAGAGAGTGAGGTTGGTGGTAACGCCCAGTGTCTCCCATTCTTCTCCAGGGACCAGGAAGGAAGCGCCGTCCGTCTTCTGACTCCTGCAGTGAGGAGCCTGACAGCACAACACCGCCAGCCAAGTCCCCCAGGGGCGGCCCCGGGGCAGGTGGCCACGGCCCACTCCGCTACCGGAGCAGCGGCTCAGTGGAGCAAAGCGTCGTGGTGGGCTTGAGGGTGGATGGTGGAGCCCAGCAGTGCCTGGACTGTGGCTTGTGCTTTGCCTCCCCAGGCTCCCTGAGCCGCCATCGATTCATCAGCCACAAGAAGAAACGGGGTGTGGGTAGAGCCAGTGCCCTGGGGCTGGAGGATGGGGAGGAAGAGGCTGCTCCCCCAACAAGGTCTGACCTAGAGAGTGGAGATTCGCTCCTGCCAGCTCCTGGAGGCCCACTCACCTGTAAGGTCTGTGGCAAGAGCTGTGATAGTCCGCTCAACCTCAAGACCCATTTCCGCACGCATGGCATGGCGTTCATCAGGGCTCGGCAGGGGGGCAGTGGGGAGAACTAGGCCCCAGGCTGGGACTGACCAGCCCTTCCCTCTCCTCCCACCCCCCCCTCCCCCAGGCAAGGAGCCTGGGTTTCACTGCTGCTGCCACCCAGTCCCTGGGCTGGGGAATTTGTTTAACATTCACATTTTGTTCAGTTTCTCCAAATCCTGAAGGAAAAAGCTTTTGAGGATTATAGTGATTTATAACCTCCCCTCCCTCGGGTTTGGCCCTTGGGTCCTAGTCAAATGAGCCTTCCATTCCTCCTTTCTGAACTCAACACTAATTATGTTCCTGCTGCAGACCCTCAGTGTGTGGCTGAGGATGGGGGATGGGACCTAGGTAAAGTCTGCGATCAGGCACAGGAAGGGGGGGGGCTGGCCACAGCCTTCCACAATTCCTTCAGGGCAGACTAGGCTCTTGCTCTCCGCGCCAGGTCTTGCCCCAGCACCCTGGCACTCACGCCCCCACCCTGCAGTGCCTTTTACTTCTTTTTTCCCCCCAGAAGTTCAGCGGGGAGGTTGGTGGGGATGAGTCCTGTCAAAGGGGGCCCAGGGAGAGGAGGAGACAGGCTCTCAGGAATCCTTTATTCTTGTAATAATACTAACAGTGGGAGAAAACAGGAGGGAGAAAACCAGACCATTAAAACTGCTCGTGGTTTAATCCCCACTCAGGTTGCTCTTTGTATATGACTTGGACAATGGATTGACCGGGAGGGGGCGAGAGGCAGAACGGGGCAGTCCCTCCTCTGCAGGGAAGAGCAAGCTTTCCACCTGTGCTGTGTGCGGCCTTTTGTATCTTGGATGCAGTTCCCACCCCCCCAAGAAGTGATCAACTCAGATAGGACACAGGTGGCTAACTAAGGACTTTATTTCAGACAAAAATTAAAAATAAAAAATCGAGAGCCATTTCCCTGGGTGTAAGGAAGGTATGAGGGGAAGGAATTCCTCATGGCTAGGCCAGTACCCTCAATATGCTGGAGGGATTGTGGTAATTCCCTTCCTCACCGCCATGACAGGGAAGCTCAGCAACTTCAGGAACCTATGTCAGAGCCCACCTACCAAGGGGAACTCTGGCTGGGGGTCAGTCCCTGGCAGAGGAGAGTTGGGCAGCAGCATGGCCAAAGGCCAACTATAGGATCAAATCCTAAGTACCAAGAACCCACTCTTCTCCCTTTGCTGGGGCCCAGAAAAGATTAAAGATGGCCTGTGGAAAAGAGCCTCAGATCCTATCCTGGTGAGAAGAAAGGCCCTGGTGCCCCTCATTCGTCCTCTGTTCTCTGGAGGGCAGTGATCCTGGAGTCTTGTCAGGTGGTAGTACTGACACCGCAGGGCATAGGAACCCCGGCAGGTCTGGACCCCTTAGCTGGCTCTCCCACCCCTTGGCAAGCTCTCACGGTTACCACATGATCCTTTGTATTTCTTGCCTTCTATTTCCCTTGGGTGGATGGTTGGGTAGGTGGGATTTCATGGTTTGGGGTTTCTTCGACAAGGGCCCTCCCGGGGAGGGTGCCATAGATGCCCCCCACTACTGCTGGGCCTGAGAAGGAGAGTGTCACATGATGCCGTTGGTGAGGTACTGGAAGCCATCATAGAGTTTGGTGGTGATAGACCGCATACTGCCATCCACCATCTGCTCTACCAACAGCTGGAGCTGCTCCTCAGTCATGCTCATGTGGAATCTCTCTTTAAGGTTGCGAATGGTGCTGGAGCCGTGGAAGCAAGGCAGCTGAGAGCCTGGGGGTCGGGGGACAGGGATCACAGATGGATAGAGGAAAGTCAAGAGCGGCCACCACCAGGAATGCAGTCAGGGGTATCTTGAAGTACCTCTTCCCTCCCTTTCCCAAAGGTCCGCGGTGTGGGTGCTACTGCACTGGTGCCGAGAGCAGCAGCTGGTGGGCACCCTTGTCTGGAGCCCACCTTCACCCCATACTCCTTAGCCCCTCTGCATGTGAGGGCATATGGGCAGAGGAGGGATGGGAGCCCACGCCATCTCTCCCCCAGTAAGGAGAGTTGAGGGAGCAGAGGCTTAGGGCCCATGGGGAAGGAAGGCTGGGAAGAGGCTCTGGAAATGGGCCCTGCACACTTATCTGGTTGCAGGCCTCTGTCTACGCTACGTCTGACACTCACAGATGACCTGGGCCACGGTCATCACGGGGCCAGACGGGGATGCTCCTGAGCAACGGCGACAACCTGTGGGGTAGGGGTATGGAGGGGAGGAGACTGGCAGCTCAGATCTGGTGTACATCTGAAGCCTTGGGAGGAAGAGGGGGAGGAGGGCCTAGAGAAGCGGGTAGAAGAGGGCATCCTGATCAAACAACTACAGGTGTGAAGGCAACCAGGAAGTTGAATCATAAAGACGAAAAGGAGAGAGTCGGGGCAGGACAGGGGAGTAGTATGGAAAGGCAGGTGGCACCCCAGGGTGGCTGGGCTAGGGCAATGAGAGGTCACAGTGGAATGGGAGGAATCTGAATTGGCAAAATGATGCAGGAGCGGGAGACTAATGTCCAGTGCTAGATAGGGTGGTTAGAAGGACCAGAAACGAGGGCTGCTCTTCCTGAGGGTGCCTAAGAAGTCCTTTCTGCTGTCTCCTTCCTCCCACCCGAGACCCAGCTCTGCCAGGGTTCCAAAGGAAAAACAGAGCACTGGGTCAGAGCCAGAAATCCTCTGGTTAACCTTGAATTTTACAGTGGAATCAACTTTCTGGAAGTCCTAAACTTCAGGGCCCCAGCCTGAGTGGGATCCTGAGGCGCCCTGGGACCTGAGCTCTCCCTAGCCGCACCTTGTTGCATGATCTCCACGATCTGCACCACCTTATCCATGTGTTTGCGAGCGGCGATCAGCCCTTGCAGCATGAGCATCTTGTAGTAGTTGAACATGTCACCATTCAGGCCACCCATTACCTGGGAAGGGAAAGTCATGTGAACAAACATGCTTCTGGTAGGTATGGACCTTGTCCCAAGGGCCTTCAGCACTACTTCCTCAGCTAGGTGCTGGTAGCTCACGCCTGTAATCCTAGGTACTCAGGAGGCTGAGATCTGAGGATTGCAAAGCCAGTCCAGGCAGGAGAGTCCATGAGACTCTTGTTTATAATTAACCACCAGAAAACCAGAAGTGGAACTGTGGTTCAAAGTGGTAGAGTGCTAGCCTTGAGCAGAAAAACTCAGGGAGAGAGCCCAAGCCCTGAGTTCAAGCCTCATGATGGACCAAAAAATAAAGAACTAGTTCTCGGAGCAACCATGCCAACTCTTATTTCCTCATTCCCCTACAAGGGCAGGAAGCTCCCAGGAAATTTTGCCTCATCCTGACTGTCATTTCTGTTCTGTTCCTCCCAAATCTCAGGGAAATCCACCAGTTCTCTTCCCGTGAGAGAGAAAGACAGTGATCCTGGAGACACAGCCTCCTTTCTGACTCACATCCACAAACTCTGTGGTCAGCTTAAAGGCTGATGTTTCAAAGCCCAGGTTTCGGGGTGAGCTGGACAGGATGAAGCCAAAGTCGATGTGGATGATATGGCCTTCTGCATCAAGAAGGATGTTCCCATTGTGCCTGAGGAAGGAGAGGAGACACAGTAAACCTAAGGCTGGGACTTTAAGATGCAATACACTGGCCACGGGCTAACAGGCAGGGGAGTACTCATCCATGGTACCTTCCTGCCTATAACTGGCTCCAAAGTTACTGGTGGAAAGAAAGGAAGTGTAAAAAGAACCACTAAAGGCGGTGGGATCTGAAATTGCGATTAATAAAAAATAGTTTAAGATTATCCCAGTTTCCCAGAAATCATATATCTAGCAACCTGACTGAACCAAATCGAGTAGCAAGTCCTGAAGCAAAGGCCTCTGAGCTTCCAGCCAGCTATCACAGACATTACTTTGCTAAGTGTGTGGCCTCGACACAGGACAGATTTACCTATGTTTTGTTTGTAATCCCTATCAGCCTACTGCAGAAGAGGCTCCATCAAAAGGGACCAATAATTAGAGGCAATGAGGCTCAGTGTGTTTAAATGTAAAACAGTATAGGCATTTCAAGCAGTAAGTTCTAAATCGCTTAGGTTAAAAACTCAGGAGCCAAGCCTTACAGGCCATCAGTAGGGAAAGAAGAGTTAAAGGGAGATAAATCCCAGGTCTTTGTGATTCCCACATGAATGGCCAGTGGAAAGAACAATTAACATGCGAAGCATGTAAGGCCTGGCCTATTCAGTATAACCAATCTCCTCACTGTCAATAGAGGCTTTGTTAGTCTGAGAGCTGTGTCAGAGGGCTACCTTCTGGAGTTGATCTGCCAAAAAGAGGAGGGGGGTGGTAGAAGGAGAACAAGGCCTACCTGAGTCCTTCCTCCCACAGTTAATTTTTTTGTCCAAAGTTCCAAGACTAAGGAGAAACAGAAGATTGACACTCTACCACTTATCACTTTGTGTGTGTGTGTGTGTGTATGTGTGTGCGTGTCTGTCTGTCTGTCTAATTGGAGATAAGTCTCACAGACTCTCCTGCCCGGGCTGGCTTCAAACCATGATCCTCAGATCTCAGCCTCCGCAGACGCTAGGATTACAGGTGTGATTCAGTGGTATATGCTTGCTAGGCAGATGGTCTACCTCTTGAGCTGTGCATCCAGCCTTTTTTGCTTTTTTTTTTTTTTTGGGCCAGTCCTGGGGCTTAAACTTAGGGCCTTGGCTCTGTCTCCGAGTGTCTCTATGCTCAAGGCTGGGACTCCACCACTTGAGCCACAGTGCCACATCCAGCCCTTTCTATTTAGGTGATACTGAGGACTTGAACCCAGGGCTTCATGCATGCTAGACAAGCACTCTGCCACTAAGTCACATTCTCAGCGCTTGCATAGGTTATTTTTGAGATGGGTCTTACTTTGAGCTTGGACTTAGTCGCCTGGCTTGGGAGCCTCCTACTTGTGCCTTCACATCCATTGGTTTAGATGAGTCTTGCAAACTTTTATGCTCAGGTTAGCCTCAAACCATGACCCTCCCACCTCTATTTCAAATAGCTAGGATTATAGGTTTGTACCACCATACCTGGCTGGTCTCTCAGCATGTATTTTTTACAAATTGAAGCCTAGAGTTGATCAACTCCAATAATTTTTTTCCTCACCTTTGTGGTGCATAACCAAGAATAGTCCTACAGTGTGTGTGTGTGTGTGTGTTGGTTCTGGGGCATGAACTCGTGGCCTGGGAGCTGCCCTTGTGTGTGTGTGTGTGTGTGTGTGTTTCTGGGGCATGAATTCGTGGCCTGGGAGCTGCCCTTGAACTTTTGTGCTCAAGGCTAGCGCTCTACTACTTGAGCCATAGCCCCACTTCTTCCTTTTTGGTACTTAATTGGAGATAAGTCTCTTGGGTTTGTCTGCACAGGCTTGCTTCAAACTGTGATCCTCAGATCTCAGCCTCCTAAGTTGCTAGGGTTATAGTTAAGAGCCACTAGCACCCAGCTTGCTTTTTTTTTTTTTTGGCAGTCCTGGGGCTTGAACTCAGGGCTTGGGTACTATCCCTGAGCTCTTCAGCTCAAGGCAAGTACTCTACCATTTGAGCCACAGGGCCATTTCTGGTTTTCTGGTGGTTAATTGGTGATAAAAGAGTCTCATGGACTTTCCTGCCCAGGCAGTCTTTGAACTGCGATCCTCAGATCTCAGCCTCCTGAATAGCTAGGATTATAGGCATGAGCCACCAGCGCCTGGCTCCTCAGCTTGCTTATTGAGCTAGGGGCTCAAGACATAACACTAAGCTGCCGTGAAGTCAGCCTAGGCAAGAAAGTCTGTGAAACTCTTATCTCCAGTAAACTCAAAAAAGCTAGAAGTGGCACTGTGGCTCCAGTGGTAGAGTACATGCCTTGAACAAAAGCAACAGTACCCAGGCCCTGAGTTCAAGCCCCAGGCCCAGAAAAAGAAAAAGAAAAAAAGACATAGTCCTATTATTGAGTTGGTGGCTCAAGACATAACCCTAGCTACCCAGGAGGCTGAGACCTAAGGACTGTTGTTCAAAGCCAACATGCATGGAAAATCATATGTGATTCCATCTCCAATTAACCAGCAAAAAAGCCAGAGTTGGAGTCATGGCTTAAGTGGTAGAGTACCAATTGTGAGCAAATGACCCAAACAAGAGCATGAAGTACTAAGTTCAAGCTTGGGAATCTGCTAAATAAAAAAAGTTATTATTGAGTTTACTCAGTTGCCTGGCTCTTCTTCCCCAAAGGATAGACTTTCACCTTCCAAACACTTAAGAAAAGCCCTTGAGGCCTGACTAATGCCAGTTTCTTTGACTCCATTTACTCAACCCTGGTGCTAAGTTCTAGGCTCTCTAGGCACTGGGTTCAAAATCCTGACATTTCAGGGTCAGTCTAAAACTTGCAATCAGCTCATTATAATTATATTCTTCTAACGACCTCAGATGCAGAACCTATGCTGGCTTACTGTAGGGCAGAGTCTGGGTGGTATTATTAACTACATGCAAGATGTGCTTTCTCTCCATGTGTAGGAAGGCCTCATAAAGGTCATCTGATACTGACAAATATGGTATTCTGGGCAAAACAACAGATACTTTGATTTTTTTTTTTTTTTTGGTCAGTCCTGGGGCTTGAACTCTGGGCCTGGGCACTGCCCTGTGCTCTTCAGCTCAAGGTGAACGCTCTACCACTTGAGCCACAGCGCCACTTCTGGTTTTCTAGTAGTTTTTTGGAGATAAGAGTCTCATGGATGTTCCTGCCTGGGCTGGCTTTGAACCGTGATCTCAGATCTCAGCCTCGTGAGTAGCTAGGATTCCAGGCGTGAGCCACCAGCACCCAGCACAACAGATATTTTGAAAGTTGTGGAAATCACATGTTGAAATGGAAAGAAAGGAAACTTAGAGCTGTGAGTTTCAACTTCATCTTCATAATGTCCCTTATATCCATCTTTGTGCTGTCACTCAGCTGGTGCTGTATCACTTGAGCTAAGCTATCAGTTCTGGCTTTTTGCTGGCTAATTGGCAATACAAGTCTCTCACAAAAGTCTGCCGAAGTTGGATTTGAATCTTGATCCTTAGATTTCAGCCTCCTGGGTAGCTAGGATTATAGGCATGTGCCCTGACACAATTTGTTTTAATTTTAAAAACATTATTTTTCTTAAAAAAAAAAAACCAAACTATTCCTCAATTTTATCTTTTTCCAATCTCTATTGTCTTTTCAGTCCTTGTCCACTCAAAACCTTATTTTCATTCCTACAACTCCTTTGTGTGTGTGTGTGTGTGTGTGTGTGTGTGTGTGTGTGTGTGTGTGTGTGTCGGTTGTGGGGCCTGAACTCTGGGCCTGGGCGCTGTCCTTCAGCTCTTCAGCTCAAGGCTTGTACTCTACCACTTGAGCCACAGGGCCACTTCTGGCTTTTTCTGCTTATGTGGTGAAGAATTGAACCCAGGGCCTCATGCATGCAAGTCAAGTACTCTACTACTGAGCCACCTTCCCAGCCCCAACTCCTTCATTTTTTTACTCCTTTACTCAAACACTTGTCAATCTGTCTTCTTGGCTTACATGAACATTTGTCTCATACCCTCAGAAAAGAAAAACCCTAAGAATAAACCTAACCAAGGCAGAAATACCTCTATAGCGAAAACTATAAAAATCTGAAGAAAGACATTGAACAAGACACCAGGAAGTTCAAAGAACTCCCATACTCACGGATCAGCAGAATTAATATTGTTAAAATAGCCACAGTACTAAAGGTGATCTACAAATTTAACGCACTATTCATCAAAATCCCAAGGCCATTCTTCACTGAGATAAAGAGAAAACAATCCAAAAATTCATATAAAACCACAAAAGGCCCAAATAGCCAAAGCAAATATGGACAAAAAAATGCAGGAAAGCTGGGCACCAGTGGCTTACACCTGTAATCCTAGCTACTCAGGAGGCTGAGATCTGAGGATCACAGTTCAAAGCCAGCCCACGCAAGGAAAGTCTTTGAGACTCTTATCTCAACTTATTCACTAGAAAACTGGAAGTGGCGCTGTGGCTCAAGTGGTAGAGTGCTCACCTTAAGCTGAAGAGTTTAGGGACAGCACCCAGGCCCAGAGTTCAAGCCACATGCAGACCAAAAAAAAAAAAAAGCAGAAGGTATTATAATTCCAGAACTCAAACTTTACTACAGAGCCTACAGTAAGAAAAACAGCTTGGAACTGGCATAAAAATAAGTCGGAAAACCAACAGGATAGACCAGAAGACCCAGAAATAAACCCATATACTTACAGTCATCTGATTTGAGAAGGGAGGCAAAAATACGTGTTGAAAGAAAAACCTCTTCAACAAATGGTGTTAGGAAAACTAGATATCCATATGTAGAAGACTGAAATTGGATCTGGATCCCTGTCATCTTAGACTAATATCAACTCAAAATGGATCAAAGACCTCAATGTAAGACCTGAAACCTTGAAACTAGTATAGGAAGGAGCAGGAGAAACATTAGAATTTACTGGCATAGACAGGAACTTCTTTAATAGAATTCCAGGGACTCAGAAAATTGGAGAGAGAATTGACATTGCATCAGGCTAAAGTTTCTGTACAGCAAAGGACATAGTAACTACGCTAAAAAGACAAACTACACAATGGGCTATACATCTGACAAGGGCCTGATATCCAGAATATACAAAGAACTCCAGGAACTAAATTCCCTCAAAATCAAAACTCCAACTAATGGGCAAAGGTGCTAAATACAGACTGTCAGAAGTAAGAATGGTCAATACACAGGAGGAAATGTTTATAATGTCTGGCCATAAAGGAAATGAAGACAGGCGTCAGTGGCTTACACTTGTAATCCCAGCTACAGGACGCTGAGATTGCAGTTCAAAACCAGCCTGGGGAGGAAAGTCTGTGAGACTCTTCTCTAATTAACCACCAGAAAATGGGAAGTGGCACTGTAGCTCAAAGTGGCGGAGCACTGGCCATGACTGAAAGAGATCAGGGACAATGCCCAGGCCCTGAGTTCAAGCCCCACAACTGACAAAACAGAATATGTGAATAGCAACAAATACTAGTGGGGATATGGGGGAAAAGGGAAACGAAACCCTAATATCCTGGGCTGGGAAGGTAGCTCACTGGTACAGTGCTTGCCTTACATATATGAAGGCCTTGGTTCAATTCCTCAGTACCACATAAGCAGAAAAAGCTGGAAGTGGCACTGTGGCTCAAGTGATAGGGTACTAGCCTTGAGCTGAAGAGCTGAAGGGGGCAGTACCCAGGCCCAGAGTTCAGGCCCCACGACCGACCAAAAAGAAAAAGAAACCCTAATATCCTGTTGGGAATATAAACTACTGCAACTACTTTACAGCCATTTGGAGGGTCCTCAAAAATAAATAAATAAATAAATATAGAACTATTCTATGATCCAGCAATACCACTCTAGGGTATCTACTCAGTATTAGAAGTCAAGGTTTCGTAAAGACACTTGCATATTCGTGTTTATTGCTATACTATAGCCAAATTATGGAGACAACCCTAATGTCTGACAATGGATGAGAGGATTAAGAAAATGTGGTATATATACACAGCAGAATTTTTTTTTTTTCCTTTTTGGCAGTCATGGGCCTTGAACTCTGGGCCTGGGCGCTGTCTCTCAGCTCTTCAGCTCAAGGCTAGCGCTCTACTGCTTGAGCCGCAGCACCACTTCCAGCTTTTTCTGCTTATATGGTGCTGAGGAATTGAGCCCAGGGCCTCATGCATGCAAGGCAAGTGCTCTACCACTGAGCCACCTTCCCAGCCCCATACAGTAAAATTTATAACATCTATTAGGAATGAAATTGATTTATAAAATGCTTTGTTAAATGGCAACTCCTTCGTACAACTACTTTTAAAGATAATAATTTATTTTAAAAGAAAAGATAATACTGCGTCATTCACAGGGAAACGGATAGCCCTCAAAAAAAAAATATGTAAAGTGAAATTAAGTTAGGCTCCGAGAGATAAATGGTACAAATGGTACATGTTTTCTTTCACATGAGGAGGTGAGATCTAAATTATAAACAAATGAAAACTTATGCTAGTTACACGCATACACACACACACACACTAAAGGTTATACTCAGGACACACACATACACACACACACACACTAAAGGTTATACTCAGGACACACACATACACACCACACACACACACACACACACACACACACACACACACACAAGGTTATACTCAGGAAGATTCTAATGGTGGGACTCTTCTGAACAATTAACAAATGGTTTAACAAATGAATACCAGGAACCTTAAACATGTTTTGTTGGTAAGTAGGACAGATGAATAGAGAAAGGAAAGGTGGGCAGATGGTCATTATATTCAATATACACATGTAAAATGGAATTACATAATTTAAGGTATGGGTGGGATTGGAAGGGGTGGGGGAGAACAATGGAATGGTGACAGTGACCAAGATGCACTATATTCATAATCTGACTTGTTGAAATTAAACTCCTTTGTACAATTTCTTGAAAAAAAAAAGAAAGAAAATACATTTGTCTCTCTAAAAAAAAAAAAAGTTTGTTCAGCCAGTAGCCGGGCACCGGTGGCTCACGCCTGTAATCCTAACTAATCAGGAGGCTGAGATCTGAGGATCATAATTCAAAGCCAGCCAGGGCAGAAAAGTCTGTGAGATTTTTTATCTCCAATAAACCACTAGAAAACCAGAAGTGGCGCTGTGGCTCAAGCGGTAGAGCGCTCGCCTTGAGCTGAAGAGCGCAGGAACAGTGTCCAAGCCGAGTTCAAGCCCCACGACTGACAAAAAAAAAAGTTTGTTCATCAATTGTTGACTGCAATTGAAGGTACAGAGAGGTCCCAGGAAAGATTAAGATGAAGGGAGAAGTCACTCACCTGTCTTTGACTTGCAGCAGGTAGCAGACCAAGCAGTAGCCAGCACAACTTTGCACAAAATTGCGCTGGGCACTGAGGAACGCCTCAGTGGTGTAACTGCCATGCTCTTGTAGGAAGTAATCAAGCAAGGAGAGCTGGGACTGTTTTTTCACTTGGTGGATGGAAACAGCATTGACCACTGGTTCAATCATGCCACTGTCGGCCGAAATCACAAGAATCTTGTATGGCTTGATCCAAAGGGGCACTCGCTCCTGTTCCCAAATGGACTGTGAGGAGACACAAAAGTACCGAGACTCTCAGCTCTCTCTAAGCCAGAAAAGCAAGCTGTGTCTCCCCTCTTTCCTAACTTTCTTTCCTTTGTCACTTTGGATTCTAGGCCATCAAGTGAGTGGTCTACAGAGGGCCGGAAGCTTCGAAAGAAAGACAAGGGCCCCTCAAAGGCAGGAAACTCCATGTAGAGAAATGCAAGAAAAGTGTTCATATAGATAGAAGGTCCAGAAAATACCTATCATCTTATACACAGGGAGGTTGGTACTATCATTAACAAAACAGGAACCAGATATGGTAGGACATGCCTGTAAGCCAGCATTTGGGAGGAAGAGGCAGGAAAATATTCAGTTTGAGGTCTGTCTAGACCGAATGATTAGAGCTTGAATAAATAAACAAAATAAAAATCCAGCCAGTCGTCAGTGGCTCACGCCTGTAATCCTAGCTACTCAGGAGCTGAGATCTGAGGATCACGGTTCAAAGCCAGCTCGGGCAGGAAAGTCTGGGAGACTCTTATCTCCAATAACCACTAGAAAACAGGAAGTGATGATGTGGCTCCTGCGGTAGAGCACTAGCCTTGAGCTGAAGAGCTGAGGGACAGAGCCAGGCAGAGTTCAAGCCCCATGACTTCCAAAAAGAAAAAAAAAAAAAAAATCCAGGTATGGTGCCTCCCAGCTTCTTGGGAGGTAGGGATCAGGAGGATGGTAGACTAAGACCAGCCCAGGCAAAATGTTAGTGAGACCTTATTTCAACAAAAAAGTTGGACATGGTGGAATGTGGATGTCATTCCAGCTATAAAGGAAGCTATTGCTATGAGGATTAA